GCATCAGAAGCTTCGATACTTCCATTTATGAACCCTAGCTTTGATCTTCCTCGTATAGCAAGTGAAACTGCCCTTAACCATGGTAAGTAGTTAAACTCATTTAGAAGCACAGAACTTAACCTTTGATTTGGATTTACATCGATCTTGGTTGAATTTGGTGACCGGCTCCAAGTGAGCTATCAGCCTCTGACTCGAAGATAGGGTTTTCGTCAGCCATGGAAGAATACTTGAAGAACAGAGCAACAAGTATCACAGAGACAAGTTATTCTTGCTCTAATACCATGTTGAGTTTTAAGTGTTTGTTTGTATTATGATTCATAAGGAAACAACAACACAAGGATACAAGATATATAGGGCAAGGAGTGATTAACACATTGATCACCCTTGAATCACTCCTACACGACAACTTCATAAAACAAGGAGCAAAAAGTAAGGTAAGGCAAAAAGTTAAAAAGCTATAACCACCCTATAAGTATGGGAAAGAAGATACACGATATAACTAGAAGTAAGATGACAACTGCACCCTAATAATCAACCTAACCAATAGCTCCAAATACCCACTCTTGACTTTCAATATTCATTTCTCCCTTTTAATTACCCAATTTGATATGATGATCATAAGAAGGTATAGTTCGTGAGGTATTTGATGCTTTAAATTGCTCGTTTTCTTGATTTTTGCTTAATAATTGTGAAATATTTTCTTGAAAATGATTGTTAAAAAAAAGTGCATTTAGTGTAGCCTATTTAACTAAAGCATTATAAGTAGAAATTTAGTGGTATGATTAGTGGTATTCCTCTTAACTTGTAAATGAAAGGTATCTTTGGTTCGATTCTCAGCAAAGGCGAAGTTGAACCACATTATAGGAAGCCCATTGTAAGGCTTAGCCCACTCCCCACTCCCTTAGTGTACATACTATCGTTTGTTTAAAAAAAATCTAAAGAATTATAGAAAGAGGTACGGCAACACAGAGAGGTGAATTATGAGGTGTGTATTATCTCACCCCATTGTGCCTTTGTTTATAATAGTAGGGAAGGTAAATTCCCTACCCTTTGGGTATTACATTACAATCAGGAAGCTATAAAAAAAATGGTAGAATCCCATAAAGATTTACTAGGATTTACAAAATCACATTCAATTTCTAACTAAATTAAAATCGCAACACCCTCCCCTGAGTGTGTAAAAACTCAAGTAAATGGTGCATCATGTCTTCATCGATGAAGTAAGTATAGTTGATGAAGTTGTCGGCACATGAACGAATGCGAGTCTCAAATCAACGAAAGAATGCATAGATAGTAAAACTCACAAGACCTCACTATGGTAAAACCTAGGATGGGAGGATAAAAAAGAGAATTTGCAGTAAGTCAAAAATATACGTCTTCAGAACACAAGTAGAAGGCACACAAGGGTATGACTAACCTAGGATGGATGCCTAAAACCTTGTCAGGTAACAAAAACCCAGTGGGGAAAATGCTCCTAAGTGTAGGAAAAAAAAGTACATTAAGGTTAAGTGAGTATACTTCTAGATACTCCCCTGAGTTTTACAAAACTTCCAAATGAGAATTACAATCATTGCAAATAAATAGTTATGCATACTAATTCCTCGAACAAGTTTTGTTGAAGGCTGATGTTGGTAGTGACTTTATGAAGAGGTCGACAAGGTTGTATGGGATTAGATTGCTTGACTTCAATCTCTTGATGCTTTGCTGATGTGATATAGACGTAATATGCTTAGCATTGACTGTGTTGATGTATCGTATCTTGGTCTAGTCGATACATACAGCATAGTCTTCATGGACTTTGTTGGTGGATGAAAAACTGCAAGTTTTCGAATATGCTCAACAAGAGCTCTAAACCATGTCTTTCATGTGTGGCATAGTGAGGTGCGGTGGGCCTTGAAACGATCCGAAAATTTTGCAACTAAGGTCTATATTTTCGCCTTTAAGATATTGCGTTATTCCTAAAGGTAAAGACATAACCATTTAGGAAGATGTCTTGTGCGGGCTTGATAGGTAACTTGCGTTAGCATAACAACAAGTTAAACACATCCCGAGGACCAAGGGGGTTGAATCTGCTCGGGATCGTTGGGCTAAAGTTTAAATCCATAGTACCTTCAATGTAACGGAGAAACATCTTTTATGCCAACTTAATGGCTATATGTAGGCCCAGTGCTTCATCTTCACCAATAGATGAACTATGAAGAAGATGTCCTATTTAATGCAATGAATTAAGTAGAACAAAGTAGAAAATTAAACTTATATATGCAACTTCAGGTTTCATAACCTCTTCAAGGGTCTCATTTGCATATAGCGTAAGAATGATCAAAGGTATACTCAAAAGGTAACACCTTCCGGGTGTAGTTCGACTGGTGGACTAGAATACCTTCGGAACAATGCTTGAACTACAGGTCAAGACATAACGAGTTTTCCCAAGATCCTTCATCTCAAATTTCGTCACATGCTTGGTAGTTTTTGAAGCTCTTCCAGAGTCATAGTGAGATTCATGTCATCGATATAAACTGCAACTCTAGCAATTCGGAATATGACTTCTTAATTGAACAGACAAGGGCATTTAATCATATCCCTGACTAATCAAATAATCACTTAGATGGGTATACCACATCTGCCCAAAATTGCTTAATCTAAGTGAACACCTCATTTGAATTGAGAGGGTGTTCTATGGTCTCAAACTATTTGAATTAGTCCATGTAATTCTTTGGCAACTTACATGTAAATCTCTGTATCAATATCCCAATGAAAAAAAAATTAACCAGTTTGATATAGCTGTAATCAAGAAGCCTTGCGCCATAATGCGTGCATTACATGTCATTGTTTCATTCATTTCATTACGCTTCATTTCCCACTTGTAACACAACAAGGCTACCTCGGACAGTGTAGGAACAATAGGTCCAAATATACTTCAGTAAGGAATTAAACGTAGATTGTAATTTCAGTTGTTCAATTAGTTTTAAATTATTTTTATATATATAATGAGGCATTTTTTCTTAATTACTAACATTGTGAAAAGGGGTTAAAAAATAATCATATTTTCATTCAAATTTCTGTTGTTTAATTTCCTACAGTCCCTACGCTTCCGCAACGCTGTGTTCATTAAGCTGTTTGGCTCCCAATGTAACTTTCAAGAAATAATCTTTAATCAAATAAACTTTGGAGTTTTTCTATCCAAACTGTTGAACTCCAGAACTTTGCTGTTCTACTCTTGTAATCCTTTTAGCCTGCGCCACTATTATATGAATAAAAAATCAAAACAAGTTGCAGGAAAGCTATGAAGCAATTGATCATGAATTTTCCTACCCTCCAACTACTAAATAACGAAAGTACTGTCTCTCTGCACATTGTAAACATTAGTAATTGGATGTAATATTTCTTCTAACAGAATCGAAAAGAAAAAAGAAAAAGAAAAAAAAAAGAACCTTAACATATTTGAATATAACAGTTGATAATTCTAAAGCATTAAGAAAAATAATCAAGGGTATATTCGATATAATTGTACTTGGCAACCAGAATTGACTCACTATGAATGCGGACAAGTGATTTAGAATATTCCACTAGAAATTTCATGATATATATGGACTTAGCACACCACGCTTGATTTTTTATTTTTTTTAGATCAAGTTGTAGAGGCGGCTTGCTGCTTTCTCTGGCCAAAATTAATGTAAGATATTGGTATGTCCTATTAGCATGGGCAACATTCATGGGAAAATTAATTTTCCAAACTCCCCTCATGGATTCTCTTTCCTTCATATTTATTCTAACTTTTAGATAATTTTCTATGCTCATAAAAAACTTCGATGGTACAAGAAAAATTATTGAATAAAAAAATTACACCTAATTGAGCCGAATATAAACCTCATACCTCTAAAACAAAATGAAAAATATACAAGAAAAAAATAGGAGACATAAATCTAACCCTCTTTAAGGCAACAAGAAAAATACAAATAAAAGAGGGGAGACATAAAAGCGATCCTTCTTGAAAGCAAAATGAGATATACAAGAAAAATAGGGGATGTCATGAGCCTAACCCCTCTAAAAATTATAAAGCTTTGAAACACCAAATATTTTCGGAATAAAAATATAATAACACATTAGGAAAGTGAATCTAACCTGTATGCCATGATGTGCACTAATCTGAAAAATCAGAAGCCAGACCAACTAAGAAAAATTAGATTGCAAGAAGTAAGAACCGCCAACAGATGTGAGTCATGCTACACCAAAGATGAGGAAACAAACTCTTAAATCATCATCGTGGGTGTGTTAGCTCATGGACGTATTTATGGTATGATTTGCAAATTGGTTTACAAGGAAAATGAAATCAGATTTTCATTTCATCACTTTAATTTATGCTATTACGTGGTAGAGATCCAAATGTATCCAATTTTTATGGATTTATGATTAGTTGGTAGGGTGCATTTTTGCTCACCCACATTAACTTTGGTGTATGCTCACCATACACTTTATTAGTTGTCATGTGTCTCATCTTCTAACCCTAGTAAACTTGTTAATTAATATATCTTTTTAAATTTTTAAAACAAGCCATCCCTCTTATTCCACTGTAACTCTGATTTATTTTATAAAGAAAACTTAACAAATGTCCCCGCCAAGAAAATATATCCCAAATCAAAAAAAAATTCAAAATCTGTATGTGCACAGAAATGTCCTCGCCAAGAGAGAAAGGGCTGGTTCTTTAGGTGAGGCCGCTATCGAATTTTATGGCTGCAATGGTGCAGCCGTCGTAGTTGTCTCCGGCTATTGTTGTATGGCCTTCGATTACCGAGTCGACGATCATATAGTCATAGTGGAAGAAAAGGTAAAAACAATGTTCTCATCGTCATCATCGAATCTTTGGCCGTGGGTGGGTGGGTGTTCATGGGGTTGCTGGGTGGAGAAGTTGAAACACTGGAGGGTCGATTCTTATGTGACTAGCAAACTCATGTAGCTATAAAATTGGAGCTTAACATTATTGTCCCGATAATATTGATAAAAAGCTTGCAAGAATCATCAGATCCATAAATTTCATTTTTATTTATTATTGCAGATGAAAGGAAATACAGCAGCATTCACTCTTTAATCAAACCTTCAATATTACGGTAGAAGCCAGTTTTCGAAGGGAAAAAAAATATAAAGGGGATTAAAACCACACCAATATTTCATGGAAAAGATGACACGAGATTGAATCACACATAAATGCAGCAGAAAACAATGTTTAGTTGTAGGCATCCTGGTGCTCCAAGAGGTAGTTCTCAATCAACTTGAAGAGGTGGGAGGCCTTCTCTTTGCCAGCCTTGACATGTTCTTCCTTGATCTCAACATCACCCTTGGTGTAGTAGTGACTGGTGCTCTTGATAATGGAACCATTGTCGGAAGCTACCAACTTAGTCTCATAAGAGATCTTCTCAATTGTCTCAGAGATGGCATCTCCCTCAATCACACTATACTTGTACACAAAGTTGTCCTTGTCAAGCCCATCGATTCTGTGCTTCACATAGCTGTATGTGCTACCTTCACCAAAGTTGATCTTCTTAATGGTTCCAACTCCTCCATCTCCTTCAAGGATCTCAGTGCTCTTCACTGCTTGTGGTGCAATCTTGGGGATGAGGTTGTCAGCATCAAGGACAAAGGCATTGTACAACCTAGCAGGGGGGATGACGGAAGTAAACTCGGATTCGTATGTGAAAACACCCATGATTCTGAGATGTGTTTAGGAAGTGGGAAAATAATAACGGATGAAGAGGAAGACTAAAAAAGAGATGATGTATTGGGAGATTTTGAGCTGTGAAGAAGTGAGGAGGATTATTGATATTTATAGGCTGAGGCTGAAGGTGTTGATCAAAAGGTTTACGCAAGCTCCTAACTGTTAAATGGGTTCTATTCATCGTAGACGTGGGAACCATTACTTTTGTACAAGGAATTTTGTAATGCAATCAAGGAAATGACCATCTGGAAATTGAATAAAGAAATGCCCAATTGCTCCGCGAGGTGGACTGACCTAATCTTCTTTTAATTTCTCTGTCATTTCCTATTTTATAAGAAAAAGAGTAATGTTATTCATACTATGTTTTTATATCACATTTCTATACTACTTTAGGTGGCATCTGATGTGAACAGACACATCATTTGAAAAATTTGTTAAGCCCAAGGAAAAGAAAGAGAAAGACTCCTTGTATACCACATCATCATTTAATTAACTAATTTTTCTTAATTATTAGTTTATTAAATAATGAACTAAATTTAAAAATCTGATTAATTCAAATGATGTGGTTGTTCACATCAAATGACACCTAAAGTGATATAAAAATGTGATATAAAAACATGATTTGAATAGCATTACTCTAAAAAAAATGATCATATATATTAGCCCAAATAAAACAATATTGTCTGTGGGCTCTTGAAACCCGCTTGGGCTGCGTGCGCCCATAGACTGGCTGATATGAATCATTAAGCAAAGCTGAGAGAAAAATAATTTTAGAGAACTTTAACGAAAAGTTTCCGGTACTGTTAACTTTAACGAAAAATCACATTTTTACACTAAAAAGTCAATCCTTGTAGTATTCACTTTACCTTTTATTTTGTCCTTATCATTAAAACTCAAAGTTTTCAAACAATTTTCATTAGTTTTCCTTTAATTTTATCCAAATAACGTACAATAATTTAGTTTTTTTTTGTCCGATCATACAATGCAATGCGGATGCGGTGTGTATTGCGCTGTTATACACGGCCGACTTTTTTAATAATTCAATTTTTGTTGTCGCATTGTTTAGCATTTGTTATCGCATCTTTGATCAACGTTTCCCGTGACGGTTGCCACCTACTGACTCGTCAAACTAGGGATTTAAAGTTGATTAGGTTTTTTATGACAAGCACTAAATGTATTGTTGAGAGTATCAATTGCATATTAGACAAATATAGAATCTTGCAGTGCTTATATGTATATTTTTTATATTGTCAATTGATTTTATAATAGAATCTCAACTTTCTTCATGGTATCAAAGCAGACTATTCATTCGACGTGCCCTGGCTCAATTTTCTAGGATCAAATTCACCTCCTTAAATTGGGCTTTCGAAACTCCTGCTTAAAAATATTGGGCCTCGAAGAGATGCATTGGCTCTAGTCCTTGGATTTGGATCCTCTCCTGAGCTAATGGAGAGGATCCTCCTGACCAATCATCTTGGGCCGTTGGATTTTTATCCAACGGCTACAAACAGGGGGATCCCTTTAAAGTTATAATAATTATAGTCGTTGGATAAAAATCCAACGGCTCAAGATGATTGGTCAGGAGGATCCTCTCCATTAGCTCAAGAGAGGATTCAAATCCCTAGTCCTCAATGATGACTTGGCTTTCGAAAAACTAGAGCGCGTACTGAAGGCATTTTTTAAATCACGATGTGCTACGCGTGACTTACACGTTTTAAATGTATTTATATGCGTAAATTGACAAAATGAAAGTCAAATATTGAAGTAAATGAATAATCTTAGATCGTGCTAGAAAAACTCCTCACAAACCAATCAAAGCAGCTAAATTTACATAATAAAATCGTTTTCTCAATTTTCATCTACATTCTATTGAATTTAGATTAAGAATAGAGAAAATAATATTTAATAAACAACTGATTGAGTCACATTATTATGTACGTGCAAAAGACCTTTTTTAGATAATATTGTTTTCAGAAAAAAAAAATCATTTGACAATTAATTTAATTACATTATTATGCACGTGCAAAAGACGTTTTTTATAACCGGCATTACACGCCTCTTAGGATGTTTTGAACGTGTTTAAAAATGGAGAAAATAATATTTAATAAACAACTGATTGAGTCACATTATTATGTATGTGCAAAAGACCTTTTTTAGATAATATTGTTTTTAGAAAAACAAATCATTTAACAACTAATTTAATCACATTATTATGCACGTGCAAAAGACTTTTTTTATAACCGGCATTACACGCCTTTTAGGATGTTTTGAACGTGTTCAAAAATGGAGAAAATAATATTTAATGAACAACTGATTGAATCACATTATTGCTAGCCTATTGTGAGGTACTAATTTAAAAAATGTACAAAAAGAATTAATTATTAAACAAACGCTGTTAGAATGACAAAAATACCCCTGCATTATTTGGTATTATTTTGGGTTACCTTTGAAATTTTTTGTTTTGGGGTCATTTTTGTCCAAAATTTTTTGGTGAAGCTTGTGACCCCAAAAGAGGTTGTTGGCTTTATATTTAAAAATTATGTTAGCTCCAAGTATGGTGACTTGATCAATTCCCGATGTGGGAATTAGTTTCCCTTGTGACCTCGTGTCAGGCCACTAATCAGCAGGTGTGTTAGAGAATATGACCTTAACTTTCTTTATAGTATTAGAGCGGACTATTCTTTCGACACGTCTCGACCCCCATTTTTGGGCTCAAATTTACCTCCTTAATTTGGGCTTTCGAAAAGTTGCGCTAGTACCAACTTGAGGATATTGACTGATTGGTTTCGAAAAGTTCCGTTGACACTAGTCCCTGAATGATGATTGAGCTCTTAAAAAATTTGCATTAGCTTTGGAATGTTGGCTTGATTAGTTTCCAATGTGGCATTTGGGTTCCCTTTGTGACCCCATGTTAGGCAACTCGTGAGGCTGCATATTGGAGAATAGGATTGTATATTAGTTATATGACATAATATACAATTACTATATGAGAGTTTCCACCAGTAATATTACCGAGACATTTTGTGACAAAACTTAATACCCAATAATATGTGATTAAGTTGGGACAATATCGACAATATTAGAGGTAGACCATGATGGGCCTAAAAAGTTTCTTCATGATATTAGAGCATGTGGTCATGCGTGTGATGTCCAATCGCTACACGTGATGTACATCGCTTTATTTGTATTGTACATGTGCTAGACTTGAAAATTCGCCATACCTAACAGGTTATGTTGAGAGTAAATCTCACAACGGAGAAAGAAATGATATTGCATGTGCTTATGAGTAATTGTGCTACTCCCCATATTGCCAATTGGTTTTGTAGTTGAACCTCAACTTTCTTCATATAGTAGAATACATAAAATGAACAAAGAAGCATGCATGCATAAAACAAAACTAAAGTCGTGACATAGAGTCGATTAAATAATGTACAAATATTAGCTCGACTTATTATTGCTCATTACTATTCGAGCTCAATCAAAGAAGTCCATTCTAAATATCATCTCAAAGTTTCAGAAACACTAATGTAACGATATTTTAAATCAATCATCCGAACTTGTTTGACTAAAACACTTGGCAACGCATAACATTGCAATATAATGAGAGTCCTTATGTTGATCATGTCAAATTATCAAAGACACCGTCTAAATGCTCACTTCCAACAACACCGATATTGTCTAATTCCCTTGCACACTTCAACACGTGTGAGGTTTTATTACAAAGGCCTCGATATATGTTGGTGTGGGGTTTGGATATTTAAACTGTTATTTTCTCTGTCTCTACCTAATGTGGGATATTCAACACGACCCTCCACTTGGGACCCAACTAGTGAATCACACATGAGAGAATCACATATCAACAACCACTAGGTACTCACCCAACACGTGGGCCAAGGGACCTAACATCATCACATTGGGCCAAGGCAACCCACGCATCACATGGTAGTATGATCCTGCTTTCTAGCTCCGATACTAAGTCATATGGGTGCAATCATCTACGAAAATAACAACCCACTTTAACTCCCAACATAGTACTAACAGGGGAAAGCCTCACATATCACATGTCATGATCGAAGATCATGCAAATGGCATAATGAAATTTCAAATGATATAAACTTGCACATAGAATATTCCTCTCCGCACCACATCACATGTCATGATCGAAGATCATGCATATGGCATAATGAAATTTCAAATGATATGAACTTCCACATAGAATATTCCTCTTTGTCTCTACCTAATGTGGGATATTCAACACGACCCTTCACTTGGGACCCAACTAGTGAATCACACGTGAGAGAATCACATATCGACAACCACGAGGTACTCACCCAACACGTGGGCCAAGGGACCTAGCATCATCAAACAAGACCAAGGCAACCCACACATCACATGGTAATATGATCCTGCTTTCTATAGCTCCGATACTAAGTCATATGGGTGCAATCATCTACAAAAATAACAACCCACTTAACTCCCAACATAGTACTAACAGGGGAAGGCCTCACATATCACATGTCATGATCGAAGATCATGCAAATGGCATAATGAAATTTCAAATGATATAAACTTGCACATAGAATATTCCTCTCCGCACCACATCACATGTCATGATCGAAGATCATGCATATGGCATAATGAAATTTCAAATGATATGAACTTCCACATAGAATATTTCTCTATGTACTCAAGGCACATTAGCCGACCTCACTTAATGGGAAAAGACTTTGTTGTTGTTGTTGCTACTCTCAAAGGGTACATGTTTGGAGATAAAAAAGAAGCATAAGTGGGAGTAAAATTAAGTACAAAAAAATAAATGACTAGCACCATAAACTTGGGGGAGTCGGGATATAATTAAGTAACCTATACCCACCACCACGAAACATGGATAAAGCTAAAGAATTTCATGCATAAACACTAATTTTAGCATCGGAGTAGTTTCTTTCAATCCCTTCTCCTCCCTCTTACATGTGGGTTAACTGTTTATGATTCATAAAGAATGTTAAGGTTGTACTGTAAAACCAATTGGCATTAATTTTTGGATGTAGAATTCACTGAACAACTAATTATTGGCTTTAGGGTGAGTGGCCAAGGTCT